CCTTCCCCTAGAGATCAGGACATCCACCAACCGAACAATCTTTAAGACCAGAGTACGCAAGCTTTATGGAGACTTGTTGACGGAGTCATCAAAATAACCCCTTGTGTGTTCATCAACGCAGGCATGTATGTATGAATGTATGTGTGTATGTTTATGTTTTTTTTAATATTTATAGTATTATATAGTACGTATAAATGATATTTGCATTTATATATGTATCCATCTTGCAACCGACTACAATTTAAATAATTTATCTCATTATATACCTGCCATACACAAATCTCTGCATCACCCCAAGGTTGACTGGAAGAAAATGCCTATGGCATTAAGTCCGCCTTATGCAATGTATTTGCAGGAAGTATAAATAAATAAATAAATAAATAAATAAATATAATAATAATAATATTTTAACACCGCACACTCACTCCGTCTACAATAGCTATGGTCATGTCGTCATTTTTCGTACGCCAGCGAACTCTATTTTCGGTATACAGCTGGACACTTTTTCAACTTTCCCTCCATATGAAATGGTTCTCCTTGTCTCTACACTCATTAGTAATGGGGTAGATGACTGTCAGTCAAGTTAAATCAGTATCTTTTTATTAAACGTCAAAATGATGAACGCAGTACATTTTTGTATGAAACACTATTGCGTGACGTCATACCTAGCTATTGTCGAATCGTTTACATTTAATAATGATTTCAAGATATCAAAACAATAAAAACATTAAATTGATAATGGATGACAATTCGGACTGTAATTTAAGATGTTACTTTTAATGATTCAGGCGAAATTCATCATCATTGGCCTATAAACATCTTGATCAGATGATTTAAGCAGTTGGCATCCCCAAACATCCTTCTCGTGGGTATTAAGGCCGTCCGAAAAGACCCTTCTCTACTAAACACGCTCTTCTGCCTAGGAAAATCTAGGAACCTATCTATTCGTATTATATGGTACTTAAAGCGAATAGGGAAGGCATTTATTTCGAGCTATTAAGATGCTTGTTTAACTCTGGCGCCAGAGTTCATGCTCATGCCTCATGCATGCCAACCGGGCTATTTGTGAATTAGTGAGGAAAAGATTGGGCGTATATTGAAGAAAAATAAATAAAGAAGACAATGGAAGGAAGGGGATATCAATGGCTTATATTACGAGAGTGTGATTAATAACTCGAGCATGTGAGAATCGTTTACCTGAGAATCTAATTAGAATGGAATAATTTATTTGCCATCAAATGTTGTACATAAGTGCTAACATTTTGTCATAATGAAACAAATAACATGGATTTGATCAATTAATAAAAAAAAAACTACGTTTAAAAAAACCGACTTCAAAAACTAAAAAGTATAAAATAACTTAATAAAGATTAAATTTAATACACCGCTTATGCAAACCTTTAATATTAATAAAATACTATTGTTTGTATGTTCTACCTATTGATAGGTTTCAATTCGGTGCCAAGCCAAATGTAATAGAAGGTATCTACACTCGTCGCGCGTGACTTTGAGCAGGATAGCTTCGTCTAGAACAAAACAACCCAAGCGGGCAGACGTCGTTGACGGTCGTCTCGAAATATAGCAAAATTTTGATGCGTTATTACCTAATTGATAGATTTGTATAATTTATCTCTTGCACGAAACTCTATACAAGTTGTTTTCATAATTGTAGGTATTCATTATTACTTAACGTGTTGTGTGCTCGTCACACAATACGCAAACCAAAAGGTCCTAATCAGGGCCACAAGTATATTCATATATACGAATAATATAGGTTTAATATAGCTATAGTTACTCATCCATGTTTTAATATTATATATATTTTTATAATAAAGTTTTCATTTGTTTCACATTAATTCACATTGTTCTTTAGGTTTATATACGTAGGTTAATCTTTAGTGTAGAAATTTCATAACAGTAAGTATGTTGTTTATAATATTAAGTTTTATTTTGTTTAGGGCTTGGCACCGACTTCAAACCTATCAATAGGTAGCACATACAAACAATAGTATTTTATTAATATTAAAGGCTTGCATAAGAGGTGTATTAAATTTAATCTTTATTTATTTTATTTTTATTTATTTATCTCTTTTTTCTTTTCACCATGGAAGTATTGTATATGCAGATATTAAATACATTTCGGTATAACAATAGGCGGTCTTATCGCTCACGGCGATCTCTTACAGACAACCTTTATACGGATATTGTCAACAAAATTAGGGTAGCCTGGGATGTACAATTACAACAAATTGAAAAACGAAATAAAAAATACTAAATAATATATAATATAAATACTATACTAAATAATATAAATAATAATATGTATAAGAAACACAAGGTTACTAATATATACGTTTACAGTATATTATATATTTAAATACATACAACTTATATAAAAACATACAGGCAGAGTTACATAAATACACAAATTCCTCTATGATGCCAAGTAATGATTTGTGACTAGCTTTTTAAATGTTTGCAGTGATTTGGCTTGCCTAATTACTTCCGGTAGATTATTCCACAGTCGAACTGCTTGCACTGAGAACGATTTGTCAGTAAATTGTGTGGTGTGCCTGGGCATTCTTAACTTCAGATTCTCTGACGATCTCAAGGACCTGCAATGTGAGTTATGTAAAAACTCAAAGCGTTATTTGAGATAAGTTGGAGTATGTGGGAGGAACAGAGTACTGTATAGAATAGAAAGAATATGTACATTCCGGCGAAGGCGTATAGGTAACCATTTGAGCTTAATTCGATACTCAGAAATATGATCATATTTGCGCAAGCCGAATATGAATCTGATGCAGACATTTTGGAGACGCTCAAGTTTATTTAATTGGTCTTCGGAGAGATCTAGATAGCTAACATCACCATAGTCCAGGATGGGAAAAAGAAGAGATTGTGCTAGGGAGATTTTTGTATCGGTAGGAAGAAAGTTACGAAGTCTTCGCAGAGATCCCGCTGCAGCAAATAATTTACGACTGACCTCACCAATCTGGGGGGCCCAGGACAAGAACTTATCCATATAGATTCCCAAGTTCTTGACTTTGTCGCTAAACGGAATAATGGACCCATCGCAACAGATAGCTGGCAGTTGTTGCCAATTTACTGCGGAGCTCATCCTAGGACTACCTAATACAATTACATGAGTTTTTGATGGATTTACTTTTAGGCCATACTCCTTACTCCATTTACATATTTGTATCAGATCCCTGTTAATGTCATTGATAGCTTCAGATAGTATAGCTGGACTTTATTAAGTTATTTTATACTTTTTAGTTTTTGAAGTCGGTTTTTTTAATCGTAGTTTTTTTTTACTTTTTAGTACAGTTACAGTACAGTTCTGTTAAGTACAGTAGGATTTTTCTAGATTACATCAGGTAAACTGTAACATTTCGTTGCTTTTTATTGTCATATATCTAATAGTATTTTTTTTTAGTTTTCAAATAGTAAGTAGCCGGAGCCATAGGGTACGCCTACGAAAGGTGCAGCGCGCCTTAAATCGACTCCGAAAAAATGCTGTTCGAAATTCTATTTCACGTTCTTGTGAGACAGAGATATATCGTGAAAAAAGTTTGTTAGCTATGAAAAATTATATAAAATTACGTTCACGTCAAGAAACTCATGAACAGTATGAGTCTAGACTCGCTAAGATTCAAGAACGTCTTGCCAAAGAGACGTCTGAAATGGTAAACGGCCTCCGCATAATGTCATTCCTGTAGATGTTAACAACTGTGGTGGATTGTTAAATAGCATTACAATAGGGATAGGCCCTAGGGTGATGCTGAGAAGATATATGGCGGTCTCTGATGGATTAGTCAACGGAGCGATGGGTGTAATAAAAAAAATCAAGTGGCCAGCCCTTCGCCGTGACCAACTAGAAGCAGGAGAACTGCCCGAAGCAGTATTGAATAAATTTGATGACGAGACGGTAGGCACTAGGGTAAAAGATGCGGAGGGCCTAGTTTCAATCGCATCAACATCTGCAACTTTTCAGGCTAATAAAGGTTACGGTGATGTCGAGAGAATTATGCTGCCACTAATTTTAAGTTGGGCTATCACCGTTCACAAGCTCCAAGGTACGACATTGGAGAGGGCGGTGAACCTCGGAAAAAAAATATTTGCAAAAGGTCAGATACATGTGGCTTTAAGTCGAGTGAAGAATTTAGATGGCATTAAGTGATTTGGAACCATCTAAATTATTACACAAACCACATGATGACAAAGCACTACAAGAAATGCAACGATTAAGACAGTTAAATCTAGTTTTTTTTTCTTATTTTTAAAATTTCCTTTTTATTTATTTCTTCGTTCCGAGATTTTATATGCAATCGTATTGGTTATAATATTTCTCAATTTCTCTACTCCGCAAGCTCGCTCCGCTTCAATGACAGGTAGCCTAAAACCCACTTATCGGGACACGGGTTAATAGTAATATATAATCAACTTAAATGAAAACTCCTAAAAAGGCCGTACACAAACTAAAATTATATAATCCAAGTAAACAATAATATGCATTAAAAATCTCCTAAAAATGTTTATAAAATACTATATAATCAACTTAAATGAAAACTCCTAAAAAGGCCGTGCACAAACTAAAATTATATCATCCAAGTAAACGATAATATTCATTAAAAATGTTTATAAAATGAAAACTACTGGGCCTAACTATGTTAATTTTTTATGGGACCAAATGGCAAGTATTCCGCATCAAACTAAAGAAGAATCACGTAAATCAGATCATAAATCTCAGAGTAATCGGTGTACATGCATGAAAAAAAAAATACCAATCGAATTGAGAACCTCCTCCTTTTTGAAGTTGGTTAAAAATTAAATTCAATAGAATTGATTCGAATTTCGATTTCGACCCAAAAATAAAATAGTGCTCGTATTTAAAAAGTTGTTTTATAAAAAAATAGAGTATATTTATCCCTAATATTTTATTATTCATGGTTTTATTATGCTTTTGCACACCTAATATGTTATGATGTGACAAAATTATGGTATTGTACGCATTTTATTGCGTATTAGAGATTCTTATCACGATATTGATATTGTTTATAACAATAATAAACAATTGCTTACAAAACTGCTTGTATATAACCAGCGGAAGATCATTGCAAGACATCGATTGAGTGCACCAGTCAGCCTTTGGTAAGTAATAAAAAAAAAGTTTATTGTGAATGCTATATTAGTGTCTAAGTACACAGATACTAAACTCGTGTATAACATTTTCACTTTCAGAAAAAAATATGAAATTATTCATTGCTTTGTCTGCCTTCGTGGTGTTGGCTGCTGCCACCCCAGTGGCCAGCGTGTCTTCAAGAGCAGATCTGAAAGACATAATCGAGTCTATTTATCATCCCAGTACCGACCCTGCAACTGCCAAATTGCTGTTGGACATGCTTTTGGAACAACTTGGATACACGAAACCTGACATCGGCCCCGCACTCATCGATTTTGACGTTCCTGAGACCGCCCCTGCCTCCCCAATCTCCCCAGTTTCTCCAGCCTCCCCAGCCTCCCCAATCTCCCCTCTAGTTCAGATCGTTGTGAATGTTCAGAAAGATACTGTAGCTCCTGCTGACGTTTCTGGGCCTGGTTTTATTCACAAACCCCACCCTGGTAGTTTGATTAACCCCCGAGTATAATAAAAGAGACCTGTTTTTGATATAAAGACCAGTTTAAATAACAATGCCTGTTTTTTTTTTCTATCGCCATAACCCACTGATAGGGCTTTTAATCTTGGCCCTTTACGGGTGCCCAGTATGGGCGGGGGCCCTGAAGGCCACGATACTGCGACGACCGCAGCGAGTGATGGCCATCAAGATCATAAGGGGGTACCGCACGATGTCCTTTGAGGCGGCGAGTCTCCTGGCCGGAACTCCACCGTGGGACCTGGAGGCGAGAGCCCTTGCGGCTCTGTATAAGTGACGCAAGGAGGTGCGGGAGTTGGGTCGGTGTCCCGAGACTCGAGAAATCGATGACCGGAAATCCCAACTCCGCCAGGTCATCATAGGGGAGTGGAAGGAACGACTCGGGCAACCGAGTGCCGGACACGCCGTCATCGCGGCGGTAAGACCCGTTATGGAGGATTGGCTCGAGAGGCGTCACGGGACCCTCTCATACCGACTGACGCAGGTGATCACTGGGAAAGGATGTTTCGGGGATCACCTGTGTCTGATCTGCAAGGAGCCAACGCCTGAGTGCCACCACTGCAATGGCCAGACCGTGGACACGGCTCTCCATACGCTGGCACAGTGCCCGGCGTGGGTTGAGCAGAGGCGAGACCTCGTGGCGGCCATCGGAGTGGGCGTTCTCTCGCTCGATCGAGAGTGCGTGGAACTCTGTCGTCTCCTTCTGCGAGCAAGTTATGCTCGCGAAGGAGACGGCGGAGCGGGACCGGGAGACGTTTAGGACTCTCCCGGCCCGCCAGGCCCAGGAACGGGCCAGGTACCGCAGGCGACTCACGCGCTGGAGGTCGCAGAACGACCTCCGTCCGACAGGTGGGGCCATCTGTCACCCTACGAGAAGCAGGCCGGGGTGGCGGCGAGCGCGTTGCAAAGCGCGCTCGCTTCCAGGGAGCACAGGGAACATGGGGTTCCAGCAAGGGGGGGGGGGTCGTTTACTCGTCTGTAGATGACCCGAGGTATGTCGGGGCACCAGGGACTTCCTTTCTAGGGTATACCTGGTTCCCCGGCTATTAGTACGCGAGACGGCGTGCGGTTTTAGTCGGTTCGAGTCCGACATGCCACCGACAGGTGGTATCCGAGGGGATTTCCGCACGAAAAAAAAGGGCTTTTAATCTATGCTATAACCTAATAAAATTTTAATACTTAACATCAGCCTGTTAATAATGATCACACGCTGGTTACTTTGAGCGAAATGACATGACTCTCGCCCCTAGAATAAACATCTGGAACAAGTGAAATACATCCAAATGAAAAGGAGAACACTGCATTCTCAACACGCAAAGGATTTTGGCAGTTCAATGTAATGCCTTTTGGACTGTGTAACTCACCTGTTACTTTCGAACGCCTCATGGAGAGTGTACTGTACGTTATTAATAAGATGTTGTTTCAATTATGTAATTGGTACAAATTGTCATCAGTAGTAACGCTACCTACAAAAAGGAGAAAAAGTAGGATAATGGTTAAGATGTAAGCGTTATAATATAAAAGAAAAATCACTTTGTTTGTCTAGGAGATAAATGATATTTATTTCTGTAAGTAAATCTTTTCAGATTTTTTTACAAGTCGGACCATAGAGCTAGAAAGCGCCGACATTTTCTAAGACTCACTCTAGGAAGAAACGCCAAAACAAACCATATGAAGAAATAATTATATAAATTTGGTAGGAAGAGTAGACAAAAAAGGTCACGCAAAGCCTCTTCGCTGCCGCGCTGGTCGGTCTTGGATCTCCCTATGACAATTGTCTATCGACAGCCTGAAGATAGAGGTAAATTCACAAAAGAGTATCAAATCAGACACAGCATCAGCAGATAAACGTCTCACGGACATAGGTCTCCCTCAAGGCTCGCCACAACAACCAGTCCTATGCTACCCGCATCCAACGCCTTCCTGCGCCCTTTACAAGGTCGTCATCACCTTGTAGGGGATAGGCCCACGCTCCATCTAATCATTAAACGTCATTTTAAACATCACGATCTGCAAAGTTAGTGTTTTTAATTCAAAATAAACGTGTACCTATTTCATTTACGCGATGAAAACAACAATTTTTTTTTAACCTGTAAAAAGACTTCCTGCACTAGGAATATTTCCTGTGTCGCAAGATTTATTTAGAGACATACATGAAACGGACACAAAGAACACACAGACTCAGAAAAATAATTTGTTGCTCATATTGCACATAGTAATGTCGTTAAGTGTTGTTGTAATGTGTTAAGTTTACATCTATTATTTCAATTTCAGTAAATAGTCAAAGCTGTTATGAAATTCGTTACTATTTCTTATTAAGATTATTATTTGTAATATATTTCACGTAAGCAGCCTGAAAAGGTGCAATTTCATACAAATAATTAAAGAATAAATATGTATGTGGGGTAAGGTTAACTTCATTGTGTGCAAGATAAATTATTTTAAAACGAAAAGTTGAACCGACTTCAAACAATACTAACATAAAGCACTAAAAAAAAATACAAATCTAAGTGAAAAAACCAAAATAACTGCGACCCTCAATATAACAGATAACATTAGTAATAGTATAGGGATGTGCCGGATCGTTAACAAAGTATATCCGCGGATACGAATCCGAATACGGATATTTGGTGTCAAGATCCGCAGATACGGATACGGATACGGATTTTAAGGTTCTTACTCAATCGGAGCAAGTGACCTTGATAGTTGTCGCTACTTGACGCTTTGCCGTTGATATTTAATATATTTAATTATTTTAATAAGCTAATACAAAAATGTTTGATTGATCTCATTATAAAGATAGCTCTTTCAGTACCTACGACCTGCCTAGTTGATTTAGTATAGTACGATAAATGATTGCAATACAAAGGTGCCAAATATTTGTTTTAAGAAATAAAAAGTAATCTGAACAGAATTCAATAGCTTTTCATAGCTACCTAATAACCATTATTCAGGGTTATTTTAAATTTACTGAAAACCTCTGAAGTGCATATTAGTAACATTATAAACAACAACTTTTCTTCTGGACTAACACCGAAAACAAAAGAAAAAGAATTGTTTGTCCATTCAAACTAACAACATTTGATTGGTCATTTGAATGGAGGACCAATTTTTTTTCACTTTGACGTTGGCCAGAAAAAAAGTTGCTGTTTATAGTGTTACAAACACATACCTAAGAGTTTTACAGTGAATACAAAATCAACTATACAGAATTTCATCTATGTAATATGTATTGAAAGATCCGCCAAAAAAGTCACGGATACGGATACGGTTACGGATCTCTCTTCTCCCTTGGATATCCGCGGATACGGATACGGATATCCGGCACATCACTAATAGTAATAGCAATAGATACCTGAAAAGTGGAAGTGGGTGCGAGAGGTATACGAGCTAAATCCCTCTATAACCTGTTTAAAGACCTTGGATTGCCAAGAGCTTCAGTAAGCTCTTTTTTTTTTGAATGAATATCTAAAGCGGCATTGCTAGGCTCGTATCACATATGGTTAGGTAGAGGGGGTAACACATCAGACAGCGGAGGTGAGCGCTGACGCTTTGCAAGGAGTACTCCCTAAACCTATTCCTGGGTCGCAATTCTCAGGTGCTGTCGAAGTGGCATGTGTTGCCCCCATCTATCACGCGATGGATCCGGCACCCGCACGGTGAATCTATGGAACGCTAAGAAATAGGTCTTTTTAGTCTGTTTGAATTTGGTGCCAAGTCAAATAGGTACATGTTAGGCTTGGTAAAAGTTGGCGCGGCAGCTGCAAGAGTTTTTATTCTGCGCAAAACATGCTGAACGAGCCAAAGTGGGTTACGCACATCTATATTTTGTATGCTTTATTAAGTAGTTGATAAGTTTTAGTACGCAATTGATCTGGTTGGTCTTTATTAATTAACGAAATGTGAGCAACCAAGGAGGAAATATACCCTTCCAAAATACAAAAAATAATTTTATAAATCAGCTTACAAATGAAAGAGTTTTGAGGTAACATCACATCACATCACATCAACAGCCTTTAATAGTCCACTGCTGGACATGCATCTCCTTAGAAAGGAGGTTTACACGAAAATAATTGCGTAACAAACTTTTTTTTGGTCTAACTATTTTGTTACCTCACTATTTTGCACATATATCTGTAACCTAACACAAACACCTAACAAATATTTTGAAAGAATAAAATAAGGTCAATACATGATTAGATTTTGAAAGAGTTATACTCTAACTCCTGAAGGTAAAGAATGATTCCATCATCAGCTCAGCAAAATGACATAACGACTACTAAACGCAAATACCTAGTGTAACAACCTCAACCACGTCGTCGGTGCTGTAAAATTTGAAGGTTTCTCTAGATTTCTCGAGGATCAAATCATCAGAACATGATTTGGTGGTAATGGGATCACCTCGGGACTATACCCTATCGATTACAAAAAGAATTTTGAAAATCGGTATACAATTGACGGAGATATACCGTAACAAACACACAAAAAAAATCAGTAGAATTGAGAACCGCCTCTTTTGGGTTTTTGAAGTCGGTTAATAAAATAAGTATTTTGAAAATCGGTATACAATTGACGGAGATATACCGTAACAAACACAGAAAAAAAATCAGTAGAATTAGGAACCGCCTCTTTTGTGTTTTTGAAGTCGGTGAATAAAATAAGTATTAAAAGGGCAATATCTTAACCCTGATTTAGTAAACTTGATGTTTTAATTATTAATAACTTCTGTGTCGTCATCATCAACAGCCGTCTCTAATAGTCCACTGCTGGGCATAGGCTTCTCCTTAGAAAGGAGGTTTCGGCCTACTATACCACGCTGGCCGGACGGGTTGGTACAGGGTTTGTTTCAAGTTTTCCTTCTCTTTACAGTGCTGTTGTCCTGCGTAGTTTGAACCCTTAGTCGCATCTTACGACACCCACGGGATGAATAGGGGTGTTGACACTTTGTATTCTTAATCGCCATCTAGATCACCACACGAAACTTCTGTGTACATGACCCTTAAGAGTTGCCAGAATTATCAATATTTTATTTTATGTTGGCAGTGAGTTTAAAACGGCAGACAAGTAGCGATAAATCTGTTTGTCTACTGAACCCTAAGCCTTAGGCGCATATTGTAGTGTTGGCTGATAAGTAGAGTAGTGAAGTAGAGTACATATCTCATTATTATTTCTCTCTCTCATTTTGCTGAGAATATTTTGCATCGTTATGTGTGTTAACCTCCTTACTAAGGAGAGGCCTATGTCCAGCAGTGAATTATTACAGGCTGTTGACAATGATGATGATATGTGTTAATTTTATATTTTACTAGCTGGTACTCGCGACTTTGAAAAGTACGCCTTAGTGGGTTTGATTAACAGCCCCGACAAAATTTTAAAGAGTTTTTCTGAGAGAATGGCTTAAGTTACTACTAGAGCTACCTGGTAGTAAAATTATATCAAAATCGGTCTAGCCGTTTAGAAGATTACCCGGAACAAACAGACAGACTGAAGACAAAAAAAAATAAACTGGTTATTAGGCATAGGTATCGTGCAGATAACCGTGTGAGCATGTAAAAAATTCTATTATTTTTATATTACAAAGAGACACTTCAAATTTATTTATTTGTATAGATATAGATTAGGTCATGGTGGTAGAAAAATAAAATAACAGTCATTGCAATCACAATTGGTCTTTATGTAGCAAGTAGGTTTCTTTGACACTCTTACATTATACTCGGGGGTGAATCAAACCACCAGGGAGGGGTTTGTGAATAAAAGCAGGCCCAGAAGCGTCAGCAGGTACTATAGAGTCTTTCTGAACATTCACAACGATCTGAACCAGTGGAGAGATTGGAGAGGCTGGAGAGATTGGGGAGGGTGGGGAGATTGGGGAAGCTGGGGAGATGGGGGAGGCAGGTGCGGTCTCAGGGACGTCAAAATCGATGAATGCGGGGCCGATGTCAGGTTTCGTGTATCCAAGTTGTTCCAAAAGCATGTCCAACAGCAATTGGGCAGTTGCAGGATCGGTACTGGGATGATAAATAGACTCGATTATCTCTTTCAGATCTGCTCTTGAAGCCACGCTGGGCGCTGGGGTGGCAGCAGCCAACACCACGAAGGCAGACAAAGCAATGAATAATTTCATTTTTATTATCTGAAATTGAAAATGTTATACACGAGCTTAGTATCTTAGTACTTAGACAGTAATATAGCATTCACTATAAACGTTTTATTTTTTTATTACTTACCAAAGGAAGACTGGTGCACTCAAGCGATGTCTTGCAATGGTCTTCCGCTGGTTATATACAAGTAGTTTTGTTAGCAATTGTTTATTATTGTTATAAACAATATCGATATCGTGATAAGAATCTCTAATAGGCAATAAAATGCGTACAAATTTATTAACATTTTAGGTGTGCAAACACCATAAAACGATCAACAATAAACTATTGTAAATATTGTCTAGACAATGTATAAAGGTTTTTAATGATTTTAATTGTGCTCGGACTTCACGCCTATTAACAATTTAAGTTCAAGCGATACTGATCCGCAGGTATTGCTAAGTCTCTGTCCATATTAGTAAGCAATAGGCATCTTTTTTATCCGTTGCCCTTCCTTCCTAAATACCTTTGGTATTTGAATATACTCCTAAGCGACCCTGCAACTGCCCAATTGCTGTTGGACATGCTTTTGGAACAACTTGGATACACGAAACCTGACATCGGCCCCGCACTCATCGATTTTGACGTCCCTGAGACTGCCCCTGCCTCCTCAATCTCCCCGGTTTCCCCAGTCTCCTCAATCTCCCCTCTAGTTCAGATCGTTGTGAATGTTCAGAAAGATACTGTAGCTCCTGTCGACGCTTCTGGGCCTGGTTTTATTCACAAACCCCACCTTGGTAGTTTGATTAGCCCCCGAGTATAATATAAGAAACCTGTTTTTGACATAAATACCAGTTTAAATAACAATGCCTGTTTTTTTCTTTCTGTCGCCATAACCCACTGATAGGGATTTTAATCTATGCTATAACCTGATAATATTTTAATATTTAACATAATTCTATTAATAATGCCCACACGCTAGTTACTTTAAGCGAAATAAATTGAATCTCGACCTCTCGATAGACTAAAAATCTGGATACTGACAAGTGAAATACATCCAAATGATAAGGAGAACACTGCGGTCTCAACAAGCAAAGGATTGTGGCAGTTCAATGTGATGCCTTTTGGATTGTATAACGAAAGAAAGAAAGAAAATACGTTTATTAGTCACAACACAAACACAGCCAAAAAAAGGAATTACAGATATATCATACAAGAGAAAAAGAAAAGAAACAATTTGCTCAACTGAAGAATAGCACAAACAATAAAAAGTGACCACAGCGCTGATTTTTAGCTGAAGCCCAAAGGTACCTCACGGACGTGTGCACAGTTCAATTACAATAAACATAACATGTGATAATTACATACATTAATTACATAAGATACATTCTGTTAATATAATAAAGATATCAAATAACTAGTTAGTTGGAAATTGATAGATATAAGAGCAGAGAACATTTTTTTTTATGTATTAAATAATGTTAGCAACATTGCGAGGACTAATTCTACAATTACAATTAAAAGCAATACCTTTACTTTTGATTTAAAAGTTTTACAACTCACAAGGTTACAAATAACGCACCTGTTACTTTCGAATGCCTGGAGAGTGTACTGTACGTTATTAATAAGATGTTGTTTCAATTATGTAATTGGTACAACTTGTCATTATTAGTAACGACACCCACAAAAAGGAGAAAAAGTGGGATAATGGTTACGATGTAAGCGTTATAATATAAAAGAAAAATCACTTTGTTTGTCAAAGAAAAAATGATATTTATTTCTGTATGTAAATCTTTTCAGATAATTTTACAAGGCGGACTTTACAGCTACAAGGCGAAGGCATTTTCTAAGACTCACTCTACTAAGAAACGCCAAAACAAACCACATGAAGAAATAAATAAATAAATTTGGTAGGAAGCGTAGACGGAAAAAGATCACGCGAAACCTCTCCGCTGTCGTGCTGGTCGGTCTTGGATCTCCCTATGACAATTGCCTACCGACAGCCTGAAGATAGAGTTACATTCGTCCCTTGGACATAGGTCTCCCTCAAGGCTCGCCACAACAACCAGTCCTATGCTACCCGCATCCAACGGCTTCCTGCGCCCTTCACCTTGTAGGGGATAGGCCCACGCTCCGTCTAATCATTAAACGTCATTGTAATTTTGATTGAAAAATTTAGTGTTTTTAATTCAAAATAAACGTGTATTTCAATTACGCGATAAAAACAACAAAATATATATTTTTTTAACTTGTATTAAGACTTCCTGCACTAGGAATATTTTCTGTGTTGCGAGAAATTTACAGACATACATGAAACGGACACAAAGAACAGACAGACTCAGTAAAATAATTTGTGGCTCATATTGCAAACAGCAATGTCATTAAGTGTTGTTGTAATGTGTTAAGTCTACATCTATTATTTCAATTTCAGTAAATAGTCAAAGCTGTTATGAAATCCGTTACTATTTCTTATTAAGATTACTGTTTGTAAGAGATTTCACGTAAGGATAGTGAAAAGTTTCAATTTCATACAAATAAATAAAGAATAAATATGTGGGGTTAGATTAACTTCATTCTGTGCTAGATAATTTCTTTTAAAAAAAAAGTTGAACCAATAAATATAATACAAAAAAAAATAACAAATAATTATCTAAGTGTAATAAAAACTAAAATAACTGCGGCCCTCAATGTAACAGATAACATTATAATAGCAATAAATACCTGAAAAGTGGAAGGAGGTGCGAGGGGTCAGCTATTCCCTCTAAAACCTGCTTAAAGACCTTGGATTGCCAAGAGCTTCAGTAAGCTCTTTTTTTGAATGAATATCTAAAGCGGCATTGCTAGGCTCGTATCAAATATGGTTAGGCAGAGGGGGTAACACATCAGACAGCGGAGGTGAGCGCTGACGCGTTGCAAGGAATACTCCCTAAACCTATTCCTGGGTCGCACTTTCCAGGTGCTGTCGAAGTCGCATGTGTTACCCCCATCTATCACGCGATGGATCAGGTACCTGCACGGTGAATCCATGGAACGCTCAGAAATAGGTCTTTTTAGTCTCCTTGAAGTTGGTGCCAAGCCAAATAGGTAGCTGCAAGAGTTTTCATGCTGCGCAAAACATGCTGAACGAGCCAAAGTGGGTTACGCACATCTCTATTTTGAATTTGATCTGGTTGGTCTTTATTAAATAACAAAATGTGAGCAACCAAGGGGGAAATATACCCTTCCAAATACAAAAAATAATTTTATAAATCAGCTTACAAATGAAAGAGTTTTGAGGTAACATCACATCACATCACATCAACAGCCTTTAATAGTCCACTACTGGACATAGGCCTCTCCTTAGAAAGGAGGTTTAGGTAACATACACGAAAATAATTGCGTAACAAACTTTTTTTGGTCTAAATATTTTGTTATCTCACTATTTTGCACATATATCTGTAACCTAATAAAATAAGGTCAATACATGATTAGATTTTGAAAGAGTTATACTCTAACTCCTGAAGGTCAAGAATGCTTCCATCATCAGCTCAGCAACATGACATAACGACTACTAAACGCAAATACCTAAATAGCTAGAGTAACAACCTAAACCACGTCTTCGGTGCTGTAAAATTTCAAGGTTTCTTTAGATTTCTCGAGGATCCCATCATTAGGTTGATTGGTGGTAATGGGATCACCTCGGGAGTAAACCCTTTCGATTACAAAAATAATTTTGAAAATCGGTATACAATTGACGGAGAAATTGCGTAACGAACACACAAAAAAAAAACAGTCGAATTGAGAACCGCCTCTTTTGTGTTTTTGAAGTCGGTTAATAAAATAAGTATTAATAGGGCAATATCTTAACCCTGATTTAGTAAACTTGATGTTATGTAATTATTAATAACTTCTGTGTCGTCATCATTAACATTACAAAGAGACACTTCAATTTAATTTATTTGTATAGATAAAGATTAGGTTATGGTGCTAGAAAAATAAAATAACAGTCATTGCAATCACAATTGGTCTTTATGTAGCAAGTAGGTTTCTTTGATACTCTTACATTATACTCGGGGGTGAATCAAACCACCAGGGAGGGGTTTGTGAATAAAAGCAGGCCCAGAAGCGTCAGCAGGTACTACAGAGTCTTTCTGAACGTTCACAACGATCTGAACCAGTGGAGAGATTGGGGAGGCTGGAGAGATTGGGGAGGCTGGGGAGATTGGGGAAGCTGGGGAGATGGGAGAGGCAGGTGCGGTCTCAGGGACGTCAAAATCGATGATTGCGGGGCCGATGTCAGGTTTCGTGTATCCAAGCTGTTCCAAAAGCATGTCCAACAGCAATTGGGCAGTTGCAGGATCGGTACTGGGATGATAAATAGACTCGATTATCTCTTTCAGATCTGCTCTTGAAGCCACGCTGGCCGCTGGGGTGGCAGCAGCCAACACCACGAAGGCAGACAAAGCAATGAATAATTTCATTTTTATTTTCTGAAAGTGAAAATGTTATACACGAGCTTAGTATCTGTGTGCTTAGACAGTAATATAGCATTCACTATAAACGTTTTATTTTTTTATTACTTACCAAAGGCTGACTGGTGCACTCAAGCGATGTCTTGCAATGATCTTTCGCTGTTTATATACAAGTAGTTTTGTAAGCAATTCTTTATTATTGTTATAAACTATATTGATATAGTGATAAGAATCTCTAATAGGCAACATTTTAGGTGTGCAAACACCATAAAACGATCAGCAATAAACTATTGTAAATATTGTCTCGACAATGTATAAAGGTTTTAATGATTTTAATTGTGCTCGAACTTCACGCCTATTGACAATTTAAGTTCAAGCGATACTGATCCGCAGGTATTGCTAAGTCTCTCCCGTTCATCTTAGTAAGCAATAGGCATCTTTTTTATCCGTTGCCCTTCCTTCCTAAATACCTTTGGACCTTTGAATATACTCCTAACCTTTTCATCATATTTAACGAAGAGCCAGGTTAATGTCCACTGCCAGCTTGCCATGTATACCTTATGACTTTACGTTAATGTCATCGTCAATACATAAGCCACTTAACAATACTAACTTAACGCCAGAATAAAACGAAGATTATCTACTTAACAGCTGGAAATTAACCGAACACCAAATAGCACGAATTATCTGAACACCAGTTTATCCAAATGTGTCAATGAACTTAATCGTTGTTGTGTGCTATTTTAAATACTTTTCAAATTGTCAACAGTAGCAATATTTTATCCAAAATGATTTAACAGCATAAGTTATAATTGTCACCAATATATTCTCCAATCTCCATGCAGAAAGAGACATCTATGAAGTATTAAGAATGACAGTTAGTTTTGAAGTTGAATTTGTTAGTTTCAAAGCAAAAGCTAACTGTTCATGAATTTAGAAATTAATTTTTACAGTCTTGTTAAAAAATGTTAACTAATGTTTACTTTTAATGTTTTTTGTTTGCTTAGTCGTGTTTTTGTATTGTCCCTTGTATCCGTGCATGCTTTAATTATCTTGTATAGTAAAAATAAATAGTTTAAATAACTGCAAGGAAGGCGCAGTGGTTTAAGCGGTCACCTAACCGCATCCTACTGCACTGACTGTTGTGGGTTCGATCCACACATGTGACAAAACTTTGTGTGATCCACAAATTATTGATCTGAATCTGGGTGCTGGGACGTTAAAGTCCTCCGGGACACAATATAAATTGTTATATTTTCGTAGTGCAGGAGTTGTCTTAATTTAAATATAGAAATAAAGGGGGAACGGGAAAGAGGATCCTCCTACGGTGCTCGAGGTGACCAAGGGTAAAAATAGTAGGTATATCAAGTATCATGTCAGTTTAACACTAAAAGTTCTGCTAGCTAAGAGTTTGGGCATGTGGACATAAACTCTGATATCACTATAAACAAACGTCACGTATAATAAACCTGGTATATAAAAAATGGTGACACGCAATATTTTAGTATCGTAAAGTTTGATAGCTTTACACTCCAAAATAATATAAAATAATAAGTTAGCGTAATTTAAACGTTTTATAAGTCTATTAAAATTATTATCATTATATTGGTGATGATCATAAAAAAAACTGCGCACAAAACTACTGCTTTTTACAAGCTTAAGTTACAGAATTATTTCGTAATATCGTTTAAACTTAGGTACGGTCAGGTACAAGTTCAGGAACAGATATTTACTTTAGTGTAAAGTGCAAATTAAGGTTACGTTATAATGTCCTAATAAAGTTTATATGACGATCCTGTTGGTATAGTGGTTAGTGAACCTTATTTCGAAGCCAGAGGTCGTGGGTTCGAATCCCCCCAGGACAAATAATTGTGTGAACATTTTTTCTGTGTCTGGGTGTAATTTATCTACATATAACATGTATGCATTTAGCATATTTAAGGTTTTTTATCGTATATTTTTATCAGTAACCAGACTGGTTACTAAACGAGGGTGTGTATCGGTCTGTCTGTCTGTTGCATCATAGCTCCTGAACGGATGGACCAATTTCGATGCGGATTTTATTGTTCGAAAGCCGATGTGATCGAGATAGTTCTTAGCTATAAATTTTAAAATCATTAGCTCACTTGCTAGGTGATGAAGCGATCTCACTAAAATCCACAGGTGTGATTGATCTGAAATTTGATATACTGTTACTTAGATGGTATTTCCACGACATTGTAACCTGAAACTTGCTGCTGCATCAAGTAGTCTGCGGGATAGCCAACTCCTCAGAAAATTACAGCATATTAGAACAGTCTCAATGAGCAGTTGTCGTTTATTAAAGTTTTTTTTGTGAGGGGTGTTTTTTAATAAACTTGTTACTCTTGTTACTTTCATTCAATGACTCTGAAATGGTGTGTGCTTAATGCTTTTGTTTGAAATATAAAATCCGTGGTTTCGCATCATGAATATATACTGTTTACTTCAATGAGTATTTAGTATTTATTAGTATTTCATGCATATTCCAGTTCCTAATTGATAAGCAATCCAATAATGATGAGGATGTATTTCCACAAGATTTGAATGCCAACCAAATAGATGACAACAAATATCTAACGCTATGAAACAACGATACGCGACGTGTGGTTTTAGTGACATTTATTTAAAATACTTTGAAAAAAAGTAAGTTAACACTGTAACAGTGTGTAATCCTTAATAAAATAACATTATTGAAGTACTTACTACTTACAAACAATATTTTTTAAATATATTTAAGGACATGTACTTATACACTACTTTGACTGAAATACAATTACTAAGGCTTCAGAGCCGCCATTAAGTTGCATCGGACTATAAGAAATACTTAACACAGGTTCGCTGTGAGGCCGTACCATTATACGGTCTAACTTGCCCATTTGTGTCGAAGCTCATCTCTCCCACGGTGCAAGATACAAAGCGAAGATATCACGAAATAAATCTGATAACTGCCGGAGGGGTTTCCAAACGCAAAAAATGGTAGACTGGAATAGAATGCTCTTACTATTAAGGCTGCATCTGTACACATTGGGTATAAAGTAAAAACTATTTAAGCTTCTAACAAGAATAAAATAGGTACTTGATAGACTAGTAACAAGATAACGTTGCAGAATGTCGAATGTCTTCATGCTACGTAAAACATGCTAAACGAGTCAAAGGTACGAGTATTACGCACATCTCAATTGATATTTTTCATTTAAATGCTTTATTAAGAAGTTGATAAGTTTGCGCAGTTAATTGGTCTGTTTAGTTTTTATTGAGCTAATATAAAGCTGACATAGACCCTCAATATTACTCATTGATTGTGCATCGGGCTTGGCACTAACTCCAAACAGACCAGAGCCTCAATTCTGCTATTTTATGTTAACGCGTAGTCACTGTCATTCTATTGACAATGGTATTGAGATGCCATTGACATCGGTCAAACTATTGGTATTCTACTAAGATAAATTCACAGTGTCAATAGACTGTCGATGTAGTAATATAGGCCATCAATGGTGATATCAACAACATTGCAATATCTGGAAAATTGAACTTATCATATTCTTACAAATTTAAAATGTACTGTTTACCAAACTATTACAAATACATCGACGACATTTGTATCAATAACAAGTCAGTAGTAGAATAAGAAAAGTGCAAAATTATTCCGACGACATTCCATCGACAGTCTATTGATACAATATTAAAATAGTAGAATTGAGGCCCAGACCGAATGTTACCTGTTATAATAATAATAACTATCAAAATGGATTTTGGTGTAGACAAATGCGCAGTCATGTATGTCAAGAAGGGCCTGATAGTAGAATTTGAAGGAACAGAGCTGTCAGATTCAACAAAACTGCGATCTCGATTAGTATCTGCCATAAAACAAACGTTGCAGGAACGCTTTTTTGGCTGCCTGAAAAAAGTACTTAAAAGTCTTTTATCAGGGGGCAACAAGGTGCGAGCCTGCAATGGGTGGGTCATGCCGGTTTTGATGTATTCCTTTGGTATACAGACCGAATTAGATACCCTTGAGAGTCCGTACACTGCTGACTGCATTCCGAATGCACCACCCACGTTAATCGGTTATGAGATTGTATATCCCGCGAAAGCTTGGTTGTCGCGGTATATTAAATGTCAAGACCCTACACAATCGCGAAATATGCAATCTCAGAGAATATTTTCTACATACTGATGTGGGAGTGCATCGAAATGTAGTTGCAGTTAATACCGGATTCATCCCGCTCGCTTTGGGAAATCTAGAGGTGCCATACCACAGGTATGTGCCCCGCCCAGTTCTCGAGAATGGTCGGGCCACGTGGTATTGGGCTCGATCTATTATCACAGACAGGATTATTGTTGCCAATAAGCCTGATATTGTAGTGATAGATCGATTAGAGCTCTGCGCAATGATTGTTGATATCGCTGTTCCTCATGACGAGAATCTCGTGAAAGTTGAAAAAGAAAAACAGATAAAATATTTGGATTTATCTCACGAGATTGTCGATATGTGAAATGTCGATTCAGTGATCATTGTATCGATAGTTGTATAGCTCACGGATTGATAGCCAAGAGCCTCGACCGACACCTTAAGAAGCTCACGTTAGACGGCTGGATCAAGGGTCTGATGCAGACGGCAGTCCTCCTCGATGCGGCTCGTATAGTGACGAGGTTCCTATCTTTGGAGTCCTAACCACCGGTGTCTTGGTCCCTGTACCCGATGACGGTGGTCTAATATTTTTTATATTTTGAAATGTATTTTTTTTTCTTGTGTAATATATTTAAAAATTTAATTAATATGTATATATAACTTAATAAAGAGAATAATAATAATAATACTATAATACTAGCAACACTTATCTACAGCAGTCAGAATTTCTGTATAATTTATATTTTTATAAAATTTTAGATTACAGAAAAATTAATGTACTCGAGAAAAGTTCAGAATAGAATATGTATTTATTGATAGATTATTATGATTATTATGGATAGATTATAAAAAGGCTTATGACTCTGTACCGCATACGTGGCTCTTGAGGGTGATGGAGTTGTACAAGATTGATACAACTCTATGCACTTTTATGGGGACATGTATGCGGCAATGGAGAATGGTTCTTTGCTATCCAGGATGTCGGCAATCTCAAGGCGATGGCGAATATATAATGATTAAGCGGGGTATATTTCAGGGTGACAGTTTAAGTCCCTTGTGGTTTTGCTTAGCTTTAAATCCTCTCAGCACTATGTTGGAGGGTTCAGGGCTAGGCTATCGTTTGCAGAGAGATGGTAAGGTTATATCCCACCTCCTTTACATGGATGATTTAAAACTGTTTGCTTCCAGTAGTTCCATACTGATGAATTTATTAGAAATAACTAAAACCTTTAGTAAATGTATCAGGATGGAATTTGGTGTAGATAAGTGTGCAATCATGTATGTAAAAAGAGGCAGGGTTGTGGTGTTTGATAGGTTGGAACTCTCAGATTCCACGCACTTTACATGTCTCTCAGCTAAAGAAACTTACAAATATCTGGGTATGTCACAGGCGTTAGGTGTAAATGAGTTGACTATGAAACAATCGTTACAGGAACGCTTCTTTAGCCGCCTGAAAAAAGTATTAAATAGTCTTTTATGAGGTGGTAATAAGGTGAGAGCCTATAATGATTGGGTCATACCAGTTCTAACTTACTCTTTTGGCATACTTAGATAGACTCAGACTCAGACTCAGACTAACCTTAGGAATTACTTCCTTTCTGTTAATGTGGATATTCATAGGGATGTAGTAGCAGTTGATAACGGATTCACTCCGCTTGGTCTAGGTAAAGAGAACTGGCGCAAATTTG